AAAGAGTGATCTGTGTTTATGCCCTGATCCCCCTTCAGTTTTATTTTTCTGACATAGATAGGCTGAGTCTTTATTCTGAGTATCATGGGAGTATCATTATCCAACCTTCTTTAGCCTATTAATGAAAGAAAACAATTTTTTAAAAGTTCCACTGCTCTGAAAAATACCAATATTATACAAGTCTACTGTCATGTGAGTTTAATAACATGACAGTACTGTTCAAGTTCACCTTCAGCCCTTACATTCAATGAAAGAAGATGGTATGTGGATCTAGGTTAGGAATAAGCATAAGTATTTGCCTGGCTGTTGAAGATCAGTCTTTGTATGCATATTTACAGGGGGTACAGAAACTGAAGGTGTATTTTATAAAGAAACATTAATTCACAAGAATTTATTTATCTGCATTTTCTCATTTTCTATACAGAGGTCTTTACCTGATAGTTAGTTCAGAAGGACACGTTTCCTGCTTTAATCTGTCTGTGTGTACCAAAACCAATGTGCAGATACAGAGAAAATAAATTTATCATGGCTTTAATGAAGCAGACAGCGAGGATAAATATATAAATGTTTATAAATGATTCCTAAATCTGAAGTAGTGGCTTTTTGCTAAATATCTGTATATGCATATATGTATACACACATATATATACACATTGATTTGTTTTTCTCCCTCCCCCCAATATTTTAATTAGGGGAAATCTGCTGGTCTCAGCTGCCTTTACAGTTGACTTCATTGTCAGTTCTCAGATGGCCAATAGGGGTAATTTGGCACGGGTGACTGACTTCTTTCTTTCCATAATGTCCCCAGTTTTTACAGGCTTTGCTTTCTACACGCTGCTATATTTCACTGGTTTGTCTCAGAACCAGCCATGTTTAGAGTATATTAGATTTGCATTATGTTTTTTCTTTCATTTACTTTAATAATTTGAGCTTTGATTATTTTTTTCTTTTTTTTTTTTTTTTGGTGAGGGGTGTATGATAAGCAGTACATTTAATTGTAGTAACAAAAATCCAACAATTATGTCTGTATGGATGTTATTCTATGTGGATCCAAGTAAAGAATTGCCATTCCAGTAATGTGACAGAATTCAAGTTAACGAAGGAGAAATTTTTGACTTAAAAAACTACAACTGTGTGTTGGAAAATTGCACAAAGTTTCTGTATGAAATATTTATATTATGTAATGGTGGGTTTTGAGCTTTTATGGCTATAAATCTTGATGCAGTGTTGAAACTTGCCTTAATTCATGTAAAGATTGTCAAAATGGCAATGAGAAAATTGAAAACATGTTGGTGGTTTGTGACATCTTCCTCATGTTGCTGCTGGAGCACTAATTGGAGATTCTGTTTGCTGCTGTTAGTTTTTCCTGTTTACAGGATATGAGGTCTGACCTAAAGTACACAAACATAGATGGAAATTTCCCCAGGACTTTGGAATAGGTCCGCGTTTGGTTTCCTTCAGTCCAGGACCACAAACGCTCTTCCAGACTACATAAATACTGATCCTACGAAAGAGAAAACTGAGGCAACGCTTTGTCACTTGCAAAATACACAGCAAGCATGCAAGCACAGAAGGAGGACTGGCCTTTACCATTCAAATGGTTAAGTCCTTCCCAAGTAGAGAGCATATTAAGAGGCAAGAAAACCACTATAATTTTCAGACAGAACGTAAGACAAAAGATTCTTGCTTGGCATGGTCTCACTACTAAGACTTCTCGCTGTGCTTCCTCTAATTCCTCTCACACTCTGGTTACCCTTCGCCTGTTCTGCCTCATTCTCCTGACCGTGACGTGACTCTGCCTCCCCACTGCCCAACTTTCTCATGTTAGTTCCACACTGTCCTTTCTTTTTACCATGTCTTTTCTTCATTAGAAATGGACAAATAAGTATATAGTGTGCATGTGTTAACAGTTGTATGCATATTATCACTGTGACCACTCTGATAATACTTCTGAGTGTATTTTTATAGTTTATTATGCTATAATACTTTGCATCTTTTTTTTGTGTGCGTGGTGGGGTGTTTTTGTTAGAATTGTGTCTGAGACAGAAATGAAACAGGAAATTTAAAAGTAAAATGTTTTGTTTGTTCACAACCTAGAGCCTTTATGTTTGAGGATATTCAAAATACAAAGTGTATTTCAAAGACCAGCAAATGCAGAGAATGGAGGGGGGCAAAAGGAGTCAAAATACATTTTTTTTTATTCTTCATTTAGCTATTGACAGTACCAAGGAGCTTTTATTTGGAGAAGGTGATAGAGAAGAAGAGTTCAGACAGCAGGAGTCACACTTCAAAATGTCTGCTCGTTTGCAGTTCCTTCTTCAGAGGATTCAATTTGGTTATTCCCACATTCACAATCCTTCCAAAATGTACCCTCCACATAAAGCACAAAAAATGTTTTCTACATATTTTAAGGATTTTTTTTCTCCAAATACTTTTCTCTTATTCTAGTGTATTTAGCTTACTCCAAAAGAAAAGCAGTAGTTAGTAATTTCTTTCTGACTGTTGAATAGTTGCATTAATACTCACAATGGTACAAAGAAAGGTCTCAGTTCACAGCAGTTTGAGCTGTGAAAATGTTCCAGGGTATTTTTGTCAAATGTCTGTGGGAATGTTTCCCTGTAAACCTGTGAGGCTCATTCAGTGATAGTGAAATATGTGATTAATTTATCTAATTGGTTTTAAATACCAGGTCAGATAAATCGGTTCTTCAGTGTCTGATTGTTTATGAACAATCTTTTTTCTGCTTTTTGGGTAAATGATCTTCATAGTATCTATAAGCAGAGATTTTTGAGGCATTTATTTTGAATTGAAACAATACTTTTTCATGGATAGGCAGGTAAGAAGAAGGACTTGAAGGCAGGTGCTGCTGTAGTATTTCTAGATTCTCTGAGTATGAATAAGAAATACTGAAATATGACAGAAAACTACTTTGAAAAAAGTCCAGAACAATTATTTTTCCTAGTTCAGACCAGCATCTGATTTTTTGGAGTACTTTCCAAACCAAAGACTTTCTCAGAATCATTTTTTTAAGATTTACACAGATCACCGTGGTCATTTACTTGTATGTCTTATATTTATCTCTGTTCTTTGGTCTGTTCTTTTGTCTTTTAGTTTATGAATTTTGCGGTGACTGTGTCGTTGCCTGTGTTCATACATGATATAACTATTCAAGAACAATAACCATCACAGTCAAATGAAAGGTGAAGTGGTCGTGGGATATGCCAGCGGCTGTCGTACTGAAGCCTCCAGGCCTCCAGAAGCCTGATTCTTCTTGTTAGGGTTGCTTCAATATTTCTAGAGATGAGCGTTCTAAAAGCAGAGAGAAACCTGATCATCGTTGCCTGACTCCAGGTGGATATTGCACTGCCACCGCCCGCCCCAGGCACCGATGCTCTCTGGGATGTGCACGGTGGTCCTGCCGGCAGCGAGCTGTAAGGCTCCTGGTTACGCCTGGTGCTTGTGGTACTGTTAGGGAATGCATTTGAATAAAGAGAGCAATTACAAAATCCAGAATTATACATAGTGAAAATTTTGCTTGATTAGATTTTTTCTTGTATTTCTTTCTCAAGGAAGGAATCAGACCTATTTGTAGGTTGGGAACTTAATGACAATTGGGGTTTCTGGATATTACTGTGTAAAAATACTGACTGTACACAGCGTCTGTCAGCGTGAGTGGGAACCCCGTAGGTTAGCTTGTCTGTCTTGGTGACAAGATAATGGAGGACCTTTTCCCCCTCATCTTGAGGGTTCAGTGAGAAAGCCAGGAAATCAGATACATGTCTTCAATAAGAGCCATTTTCAATATCTCACACATTTATTTAATGCAAGTCTGGTTTATATCTTCTGGGTGCCAAATTCCACCTGCATAATGTAATATAATTAGTATCTCACTTAATCAGGATCTGCACAGTTTTGCTCAGAAAGTAAGAAACATGTTTCTGGAATTTAACTTTCCTCTGGTCAGTGTCTGCTTTATTCAGATTTGGTAAAATAGAATACTTAAGAAAATCATTTTACTGATGCTCTTTTACAGGTGCACCTTATGTTAAACAATATATCTGATATATATGTCAAAATAGATATCAATATGTTTAATGTATGTGCATAATCGAAGACCAAATAAGCAGAACATTGTTAGCGTACATTTTACTGTCAGTTTTAATCTCCTTGGAGGCATACAGCTGTCTTCTGCCACAGATGACATATTCCCTCTTTTCCTAGTTCACTGCTGAGGGGTGATTGCCTCTGCTCAGATTCTATTTTTATTTGACCCGAAGCCAACTGCGTATATTCTCTCAGACAAAACTGGACCTGGCATGACTTCTCTTCTTTAGAGCTGCCCTGTTGAAATGATGGAGATTTGCCAGTGACTGTCCTACTGCAAATCAAGTCCTGTTCTTGCTTGATTTTTAGATCAGTTTCTCAAATTTAGTGTTGGATTATAAACTGGACATTTTTATAATTTGACAATGAAAGCAAATGAATGCTAGAGTCAGCCTTGCGGGCTAGGAGAAATCTCAGTTTGTTCTTCGGAGAGGTACTCATTCGTAGAGACAGTTCAATGCCTTTGACATAACTGCTGTAAAATATGTAGGTCTGCCTGTGATTCTCCCACTCTAAGTTTTGGTTTTCAAAAAGATCAAAAATAGAACAAAGGATGCAAACCTATCAGCCAAACCAGCACAGTCCAACTTCATATTTTTAAGTCTGATTATAAGAAGCCGTTAGCTCAGGAAGCCTTGCTTGTCCGGCACTTATGATTTCCCTTGAGCAGTAGAAATGCTAATTAATGTTCACAGAGCTAAAACTGTGTAGCTTAATGGAGAGACTTCTTTTTATTTTTGTCTTATTTCTACCCTTCCAAACAGACTGAGGTTTTCTTTCACATTAAAATAAATGTAGGCCAAAACCCAGCTGACATGACAATGAGCCCAATTTAGCTGAGCACACAGACTAAACCGGTGTAGTCAGTGTAGCATTAGATAGTAGTTAAGATTGTGCTCTAAGTCAAAATGCTCCTTCAGTGAAGACAAGCCCTAGAGAAAGACGTCAGAGAGCATAGGACGCTTACCAGGGCAGAGACTAATAGGAATGAAATTAGGTGAAAAGAAAATGTCCTGCTAGCTTGAGCTGGAATATACTGCAAAAAAATTTCCAAAAGAAATGGCAGAATTAATGTTTTAGCCAGAAAATATAAGACGGCATAAATAGCTTGTTAATTGATGGTCTTTGCAGTATATGGGTCTTTATAGTGTAAATACTACAAATAATGTTCCTGCCTGGGTTGCATGGGTCTGTAGAGGATTGCTGCATCCAAGTTCATCATGTTGTGGTCTTCTGTGTTCAATCTGCTCCTAGCAGCCATCCTAACGCTGTGCCACGTCTACCACTTATCACTGGTATCTTCATGAGTTGCGCCATTATTGCCCTGTAGCTTATTAGCTTTAACTTGCATTTATTATAAAAGAAACTATATAAATGCATTTTGTCTTGTCCTTTCCAATGGGTGCTTTCTGATCGTGTGTGAGAAATAAATCAACGTAGAAAGTGGCTTTTGGGAAGCAAGATTTGATACAGTGATTTGAATTTTTGTTAGTGATGGCTGAATTGTAATTATAATTGTAATTATAGTTTAGAGTGTTTCCCATTAAAATTGGTAGCAACAGAATCACAAACATGCTTTCAAATTACGGGATATTGTGGCTGAAAATTGTTGACTTCACATATGTATTACTTTCTTTTATCACCAAACAATGTGTATACACTATCAAATGTAAAAGTTCAGCATTTTAAGAACTTGTTTAGACATTTCTCAACATGGATCCATGTTTATGCAGATATGATAATCATTACTTTTTTCAGCAAATTTTAATTTTAAGTGAAATCATAATGTAAACTGATGTACTATAATATATTTATGTTCTATTTACTAATTGTTAGAAACATTTACGTCATAGGTCTGTTTGTCGTTGCATGCCCGCTAAAACCTCCTCTGCTTACAAATGGCACAGCTACTTTTCTCGCCCCCCTTCCACTGCCACCCCAAACCTTACCGTAATAGTAGGAATTTGAAATCCGTGTAGAAGAATAGGAAAGGTTACTGGGCCTGATGTGCCGTTTGCATATTATTGGTTTAAAGAAGAAATTATTGTAGTGCACATAACACAGAATGTATTTTTAAAGGAGCTACTCTTTGCACATTTTATCTTAGGAGCAATAAGAAATCGTATCTTTCAAGCTCCTGAACAACCTTTTTCATTTTTAAAAAATATACTGTTAGGGAAGAAAGTATTTTACATTTATAGGCTGTCTGTTTACAGAACATTATTTTTTTTTAAGTCCTAGGCCACCAATTCCTCTCTCTCTCCTTCTATCAGAAGAAGAAGCAAGCATAGTAATTCAGTCCTTCTGGAGAGGTTATCGGGTAAGAGTAATCTATAATTATTTTGCTTGATGTTGAAAACCGTAGGACTGTGAAGGCCCCAGGGAAAATCCTTACATAAATTTTGAGTAGGGGATACTATAAATAGCTGCTCAGCCCCCCATGGTTCATTGGCTTTGGATGTTGCTCTGCCTTATGCCTAGTGACTACAATTTTTTTCACAGGCATTTACACTGATGTAACCTCACTGCTTTCCTCAACAACAGAAAATCCACAGAAATTAGGGTTTCAAAAGTACAATTAACACTGAACACATTTTTTTTCCCGTTGATCTTTGGCTAGTTGCTAAAGGATGAAGTGTTACTTTGCTTCGTGTGGGGATGTGTGAGTGAGTGTGGAGATGCACGAGGAGGATTGGTGAGGTCTGTTAAGTAATAAAAGCATACAGAAACAAAGGACAAAGAATTGAGACCAAGAATGAGACCGGAGATGTAGGAGAGGCATGAAGGCTGTTATTCAAGGAAAGGGGAAACAAAATGGCAAGCAGATGCTGCATGCCATGCTAGTAATACAACACTAACGCAATCCCCAGTTTAAGGGGGAAAATCAAGGTACATAAAATAAATACAAAGAAAATTGGCTAATACTATTATTTTGGAGGGTAACAGCCATGCTAACCCTGGGATACAAAATAAATTATTTTGAAAAACCTGAACAGATTCTGTCAAATATTTCTTTGAAAGGCTCTAACACCTTCATGCCTTGGAAAGCAATGGACTTGAAATTCAGGTGACTTTGGTGATAAGGAAATGTCTTTATCAAAATTTAAACTTGTAAATCACCTCCAGATATAGCAGTCATTTCTTTGTGATGGACAGTGAAACATCTCTGTATGTCAGGTGTTCTTTAAATAACAGTCAGTATAAAACACTCTCTGTTCAGTTCTTCTTTACTGCTTTTAACAAGCATGAATATATATATGAGTGGCTACTATAACGTGCCATGCAGCCAAAGATGATGAAATACCTCAAAATGATCTTCTTGACTGATAGAGTTTTGTGATGCTGTTTGTTCGTTTTCCTTTATTTTTCTTTTTTTAAGCAGAGATGGCACTGACACTAACATTAATTACCACTGACAGTATCACTGCAGGCATCCTTACAGCAGAGTATTGCAAAGGCCACCGATATCCAATAACAGTTCTGTTTGCTGAACAGTGCAAGGTTGCTCAGATACCTTGTGCTTCTACCAAAGCTCCTGAAGGGCACTATCCTTCCCCGCTCTATGTATTAACTTTAACATTTTCACAGTAGTATTTATCATTGTAAAGCACTTCCCAGAAATGAGAAACTGTAGCTATAAAAAGTAGGAGACACCAAAAATAATTCAGATTATAAAGTTAGCTGTTACATGTTTTAGCTTATTAGAGCTGAAAGATCTTGGGGTTTTAAAAATGAAATTTAAATTAAAATCAGAATATAAAATAAAAATCATTACTAACAAGTTACTACATAGGGCCATGTGTTATCCTTGGGCTTCTAAATTAAGAGAACACTAAGCTCAAATGGGATTTCATCTTATTAATGATAATATATATTATGAGAATTTACCGAAGAATATGGATGATTTGCTTTTAAAATAAATTAGCTGACTTTGATTTATTGTGGTAATAACTGAACACTTACAAATAATGCCCTTTTGCATTCTAAGGATATTATTGTGTCAGTATTTTCAGCTCTTTTCTGATGTTCTTCATTAAACCTTGTTTTATAATTCACAGAATTTGGAACTTTTAAACACTATTATTGAAATAAAAATTTACACATCGTGATAACATTGCAGAATTAAACACAAGCACATGTACATATTTTACATGGCACTGTAATAAAGGATCAGTGTACTTCATCATTGATCTTCTCAAGATACACTTGAAAGGACATAAAATCCCATGCCATAGGTACGTGTTGGAAAGGTGGATGGAGAAGGATTCTGGTCTCACTGATGGATTTCAGCGAAAGTAAAAGTCTCAGAAATCTGGGCAGGATAGTTTTGTCTTTAACAACACTATCCCAAATGTGAACCTTCTAAGTTTCTTATTCTTAATCAACATCATATAAAGTGTGAGAAACCACAGCACGTTATTTTTCTCGGACACATCTTCCATGGACTCAGACCATTTTTGAGCTATTTCGTTAAACGCTGCTGCGTAGATCAATATGGTTATCTCGTTATATAACTGACCGAGCATTGCATCTTATTGGGATACTTCACTTGTTTCTGCCACATCTAGCTGTCTGAGTGTGCCACTGTCAAAAATGCGTGACACTCAGCGAAAGTGGATCAGGCAGTAAAGATTTTTCTATGTAAAGGGGGGAAAAAAAGCTATAGGAACAGAATATTGAGAACTTTTTGATAATAAGACATGATCAAAGCAATGCATTCATCCTTATCTGAAGCAAATTTCAGAAAAATACTTGTTTTGGTAGTAATAATTAATGGCTGCATCAAGGTAGTCCTTGCTACAATCTTTCATATAAAGACATTGATGAGTACTCTGAACATTATTTCAAGTTTAATCAAGAATTAAATCCAGAACAAAAAGCAGTGGAAGCTACAACTGCTGAGTAAGAGGATCGGAAAGAAAGATGTCATCAACTGATGAGTAAGAGGATCAGAAAGGAAGATGTCATCTTGAGGGGTCTCTTTGAGGGCAAGGACATCTTGAGACAGCTGTCATCAGAATTCTTTCTCTTCACTTCTCACCGTCCTCTTTTATTGAGGTTCCATTCATTTGTCATGGGCTAAGGCAGTATTCAGTGTCTGATGAAAACCCTTGATGGCCAGATATCAATTTTCCAGGCACTTTTCCAGTAAAAGATGATATATTCCTTCACCCCTCTACTGCAGAATCTGTGCTTAGTGCCATTTGGTTTACAGGGTCTTTTTAACCTTTACGGTTTGCACAACTATTATAGACTGAAGGGATTTATCATTAATATAATTTCCTCTAATGTCTCTGGTCGAAGCTTTAGTGTTACCCTTGCGCTGTTTTGCAACATGTTCTAACCTACCATAGAAAGCAGTTTATTTTGACTAAATCTTGTAATATCGTGGAGTTTAAATTGGAAAGCATTCTGTAAATATTCAGTGCTATTTTATACATAAATATTATTTGAGCAAAAGTTAAATCAGAATTGAAGCAGGTTTATCTTCATATTTTACAAAGTGGTGTTGTGCTTTTGCTATCACAATTTATATTCCTTTCCAGCAAGTTGTGGCTACTAGCAAAGACTCAAACCAGAAGGTCACACGAATATTCGCTGTTATTTACAGCAAGCGTAGATTCAGCCTAAGTGATCTGGGTAAGAGCGAACTCTCCCTTCGAAGTTAGGACCCTTTCAGTGCTTCACGCATTGCTGGTCTGCAGGAGAGACTCATCAGTTGTTTGGACAGGACTCTTGACCCTTCGATTATGTGCCTGGAGATTTTGCTGCTGAGTCATGGCTTTTTAACCATGGTAGAATTGCACTCTACAAAATAAACTACTTTCTGAGAAATTATCACAACTCTGCTAAATTCTAATCTATTTAGCATATTTGGAACGTGTTGATGGTATTTTGTTAAGTTTTATTTGGTGGCGTATCTGTGCTCCTTTTTCTTTTCTTTCACCTTTCTAAAAAATCACTTTGTTCTGGGAGCTCATGTTCACGGCTTGGATTTCATGTTGGACTTTGGAGTATTTGGGTCTATCTGACTATGCCTTTATCTCCGAACCCTGTATTTTGCTATGTATTTCACTAGACTTCCACTGTTTTATTTACCTAGGGAGAGTATACAGAATCTACTATAGTTGCCTTTTATCTTTTAACTGTTAAGAATTACTGTCTTCATTTTCAGTACACAGAGGTGACTGTGGCCCTGTCACAGGCCAAAATACAGGTCTTACAGAGCTGCAGTTGTAAATGGACACTGCAGTTTTTCAAAAATGTTATTTTCAGACATAGAGGTAGTAATTTCTCTATCTTCCTGCCTCTTTTCTGTTACTGTCATTTCTATGTCCTATAAGCATTTCCTTAACCCGTTCCTGTGCAGATAAACTGACTCCATGTAACAGGGAATTACATGATTTATAAAATAATGCATGACAGCATAAAATAAAAAAATGTCTCTTGCAAGCCTAAATAAATTATTCTGTGTTTGGGATTATGTTTTATTTTTTAAAATAGTATTTGATGGATTTAATAGAAAATGGTTTTGATTTTTTTGCATAGCTGAAAAGATCACTAGTAACAGTAACTTTATCTTGTGAGAACTTCTTACAACTTTTACAGAAGATAGTACAGAATTATATTAGTATAATGGGATATTATTAGAGGCCTAAGAGGTACCTGATGTCAAGTCACTGAGTAAAAGTCTTGCCTGTCTTTATTGATCATGTAACCTTGTATTGTATTTCTGCTCTGCCAGTGCACTATCTGAAATACAGCAAGTTATCTTCTCCTAAGTGGGTTGAAAAGTGCCGTGGGAGTTCAGCTACAGTCTATTATGTTCTTAGCTGCACCACAAAGGAGAAATTCTGGGCGGAAAGAATACTTTTGATAAATAATTTATATTGTTTTCTTTATTATTTTTTTTAACTAGTGGAAAACTAAGTCCTGCGCTTTTGCTCTGTATGTATCTCAGCAAAGTGGGAGAAAACCAGAGTGTAATGAGTAGTAGAGCAATAGAGTTCAAATCACAGAGCAAACTCATTGCCATATCATGTAAGAATGAAATAAATATAAGAAAGTTTCTAGAAAACTATTTAGTCGGCTTCCTGAAAGCAAAAATGCGCCAGGGGAAACCAAGCTTATTGCTGCTTATTTCTACTGTGTTATTCAACTTCAGCCTGAATTACTAGGGCATTAAGTCCTAAACCATGACAACATTCTATATAGGTAACATTTAGAAAAAACAGAAACTGCATTTTTAATAATTCTATTATAAGTTGAATATGACTCTAAGAGAATAATCATTAGCAGTGACTAAGCTAATGCTAGCATGTCCCCTTCCCACTACTGTCAGAAGGACGGTACCTACTCTGAATTTCTGCTCTAGCGCGGAGGTAGTAATTGTGTGAATTTTACAACTGGCAACACACTGCTAATTAATCAAATCCTGCTTAGAACAAGTTTAAGTAGCAGAGTGGTAAAAGCTGCTGATGCAAACCTAGCTCTTTCTTGTATTAGTAGGATCCAAACCAGTACAAAAGAGTAACAGAAGAATTCAACTTAAATCTTAAACGGAGTCAAGGCCTGTGACTGTTGTCATTTTATGTGGAAACAGAATTACGCCCTTCATGGGGGTGATTGACTGACAAAGAATAGATACCATGTCATGCGTTCCGGTTAGTTACTTCAGATAACAGGTTAATGGCTCTCCTGTTTGTGAGCATTGTAGGGCTGGGATTGGCAGTAAGCCTCTTTGCAGCTGATAGCAGGTGTGAATCAGTTTGCTGGAATAAATTTCCTGCTGTATGACCCGTCGTGCTCCTCATTTGCTCTGTTATGTTGGTCAGTGGGTTGGGTTTACAGTGTTGGGGTTTTCTAAGGGCACTAATACGCTCAGCATGATGCTTTAAATTTTAATTAACTCACAGAATAAGAGTCTCACTGCAATCACGTTCTCAGGAGTCCTTGGTAATCAAAATGATCCCTTAACTGGCATATTTATGTTTTCAATGGGGTTTGTCAATTATGTGGGGTTTATTTCCGTATAAGTTGAAAACTGTAAACCTCTGGGATTGTGGTTTTATATCAGGCCCAGCAAAAAGGGTGGATGTCACCTATTTGCCCAGCCACAGCCCCATGAAAACACATTGTATCATCATCATGGGTAACATGAGCATATATAATTTTAGTTGCATTTTCTGTTTTCCCTTTCCCAGGTCCGCTGTGATAGCGAAATACAAGAGCTACGTCAGTGGCAAAAGCAGTTGAGAGAGGAAAAAAACATTTTTAAGAGAGTGAAAGAATTCTGGACTAAGCAGGAAGCCAAAGGTAAGTGAATTGTGTGGTTTAATTTTAATTTTTTTTTTACATTGTGTTGAATTTTTATACTTTGAGTTGTATTAAAAATAGGGCACACAGTAGGACATTTGTCCTGAGTGAGAAGAGAAGAGAATGTCTGGTGGAAATGCCTGGCTGTTTCCTTACAGTCACTACTTACTCTAAGTTCGTTGCCTGTATAGCTGAAAGCGGCAATCAAAAATACTGCGCAGGGCCAAAACTCAGTCATTTCAGAGGACTATGACAATGTGCTGGCACAGTATTTCCTAGGGCAGGATCCGACCTCTACCAGCTACACAACAGGTAAATACTGATTTTTGGTTGTAGTACAATTTTTCTGAACTGTGAGATTTTTATCTGGTAAATGTTCTACTGGCATTTCCCTGTAGTTATTTATAGGAGAAGTTAGCATGAACAGTTCTAAAAAAAGAAACCAAACCCAAACAACCCAATATAATTGCCAAAGGAAATGAGGCCAGATTGCTTTAAGAAGGGACACTGTAATATGTTTCCTTTCTGCCCTGATCGTGGACAAGGCTTCATTGACAGGGCCGAAGTTACCATTCACTTACTCAGGCACAGTGGTGTAACGAGGACTATTCGCCCAGCCTCTCTGTCTACTAATGCAGGAGGATTCAGTAGCTCCTCAACCAGTCCACATTTTATCAGCCTCTCTGGGCTGGACTCAAACGTGATACATGTGGGGATGTGAACTACACACCAGTCGATGGAGGTGAGGTCGTTCAGTATGTTGTTCATGCTTACCTGTGCTAGACAAAGCTCTTCCACAGAGGGAGGTCTGTCTACAGTTCTGCTGCTTTCCCTGGGATGAGAGACGGTAACTGCAGCAGCAGCTACTGGATAGTTCCGTGATTTGTACGTTTGCAAGTGCAAGGAAAAGCATTTTCCTGTTGGGGGTACTTTTCCTGCCCAAACTGCCATCCTTTGTGATCTCCAGGGAAAACGCGTGACCTGGATTGAAGCTCCTGCTGGCTAGCTTCAGCTGCATCCTGCTATTTAATAGAATGTGTCCAGTCAAATCTGCTGCCATTGTAATATTGCAAGATTTATACTACGTGTATTACACCCTGAGTTCGTTAGAAAATATCCAGTGGAGAAATCTGCTTTTCCAAATCTGATTGCAGAATTTGTTGGTGTTCTGCGTACGTGTCAAAATGCTTGACGTTCTTCCGATGTCTGTTCCCTGTGTTAGGAGTTCTTCTTGTCATAAGAAGGAGTCTGCATTGATACCGGTACTGATACCAATACAAATAACAACAGATTTCTTTGAATAGATAGTTAGATACATTGAGGCAGGCTTATAATTAACAAAGACAGTAACGAACGACAACCTCGAAAGCAGTTCTGCACGTCCACACCAACAGCAGGACCACGGTGAAAGCTGTTCCTGCAGGTTGTATTTCAGCTGTGAAGGCTTATGTGTGAATTCAGTCTGCAGAATTCTCAGGGTAGAATTTTTTAAATCATAAAGTATTTGCTGATATCAAAGCTGTCATAAAAGAGTAATTTTTCAAAAGATATTGTTCTCAAAACCTTCCTTTATGTATCGTGGCCTCCTCAGCTGCCTTGCCATCATGGTATTAGATATTGCAAGGTGTTACGAGCTGACACGCTTTTCTGTGTCTGCACTGTGCTATGTGCAGGACCTTTTGATCACTTAATTATGAAATGTTCAGAACAAGAAGAATTTTCTTCAGGGCAGTATACGTTATAGTACAAATACCCGAACTGGAAGACTATCACTATTTTCTTGTGTGATAGCAGTTTGTTGCAAGGTCTGCATAGATTTTCCAAACATTTATTCATATTTATATTGCAATTTTAATCCACAAAAGATCAGATTTTATTTACCAACCCATGCAGTTGCCTAAGGGATATTTTATAGCTGAAAAGAATTAATTCTGAGGAGCAAAATCATAGATCACAACAGGAAAAAACAGTATTTATATGTGTGTGTGTATATATATGGGGTGTTCATATACAGTAAGTGAAGTAGAATTCTTGGCTTTAGAAGATTAAAAATTAGTAACAGTGTACAAATATGATGAAAAATAAAATCCATGAGACATAAATTGTCTTCCACCAGACTTGACTGATATGTAAAGAAGACTTTGGCAGAGCAACCAAGGTTTTCTTCAAGTCTTTGTAGGATTTCATAGCCTATTTACTATGGTTTATTAAGAGTTTACTTTGAAAAAAAAAAAAATGTAGGCTTTTTTTTTTTTTAAAGAAGACCTAAATAGATCTGGTTTTGAAGATCTGAAAATAGTGGATTCAAATTTGCTATGATAAAATTAATCTCATTATAAATTTAAAAAAAAAAAGCTAAATTCTTCTCTCTGTAATATATGTTTAATTCTGTCAGTGTTAATTGTTGAAAAATTACATTCCTGAAGGTGATGATAGAAACTGACCTAGCCAGCTTGCTAATTCATTTTAAATTATTGCAGTTTAGGGTTTGTGTTTTGGACTCTCTGCTTTCAATTTGTTAGCATTTACATCATCTCATCGAGGCATGCTTTTTCACATGTTCCATTGCCCACAATACCAGTAAGAGTTACATGAAACCATTTTCAAAATGTTGCAACTAAGAAAAGCAGGGCTAAGGGTGGAGCGGACTGTCATCTGGCAGTTGAACTGATTCAAAAAAACTTCCTGTCTCTGAAGAAATTTAATCTTTCCATAAACTATATTTATGTTGTTTTGGAGAGTAATGTAGTGATAAGATTTCCTTTGTCTTCTTTGCCAATTGTTTCAAAAGGAAAAACAAATTTCCTTTTAATCACTCTCATAGAGCTTTCAAGTAATCAAATCAATTATTTCAGGACTCTGGGACGCACAGCTGTTTCACCACTTCAAAAGAAGCTGTAAAATTGCCCCTTTTCAATTTTTGTCTTTAACCAGTGCAAGTTCGTATTGCTTTTATCACATTAGCTTTCAATATTATCACGTTGTTTCTGTAATTCCTTAACTGAGCTCTGCTAAGTTAATTTAAGAGTTTCCATACATAAAATAGCCATGGGGCCCAGCCAGATGGCTATTTGGAAACAGCTGTACTAGTTTGAGGAGTTACTGTCCAGGGGTTTTCATTATCAATCTCAGCTGTGATGCCATAATTAATTTTGTTAGTGCTCCAGCTGCTCTTATTTCTGCTATTATTATTCTGCTGTTTATTAAGGTTGTTAAACCCTATTTCATTGTAAACTCAGTAAGGTTCATTTAAACTGCTTTTACCAGTGATTCTATCTAACCCAACTGACTTTGCACTGAAGTGGACTGTGAGTGCTCATATAGTAGTGAATAACATAACACAACTACTACTTAACCTTGTCTTTCTACGCATTTGGTTTAACTGAATTAATTAATTCCGTTAATTCAATTAATCCCCTTTAGTTAAACCACCGAGCTCTTCGCATCAAGCAGACAAAGCATTTATTGTCGCTAAAAACTCAGATGACACAAATAAAGCATTAAGATTCATGATCAAAAGAAAAGGAGGAAAACCATTTTAAAATAGAGACGGCAATTTATGACAAAGTTAACTACGTTAAGAATAACAGTGAAGGATCTCTTAAATTTATATATGAGACTAACCCTGTTTATTAGATGCTGTAAACAGTGTTGAATCTAACTGTAGGGGATGAGTGGTGAGCTGCCAAATAGCTTTTAGAAAATGCTGACTGGAGCAGTAATGTGATTCTATTGACACTACTAGAAAGATCAGCATACCTTCCATGAAAATATCAGCCAAAGACTCGCTTAATGTGAGCTAGCAGTCAGATTCTGCTTTGTTGCAGCTTTCAGCGCAATGCTACGTATACCTTATTTCAAGGGTACGGTTTGGGCAAAGACGTATAATTTTATGAAAGCGTGTTTGTATAACCTTGACCGGTGTGATACTTAAAAACGGTGTTAAGAGGAAGTTAGAAATGTAAACGGGTTGTAATTAACCAATCCAAAGGCATTTTTAACTTATTTTTCTTAAGAGTGTTAAAACATGTTCAGTATTATTGAAACAAATAGCGAAGTTTTAGTTTTCATTAGAACATAACCAGAAGGAAACACTTCTGGATTTTTTTTCAAGTAGGGACCAAAAATCTGATTTTTCTGGGGAGCTAAGGTGATCCAGCAGCTTCTCCATTAAAAAGGCAGTCCTGTGCTTCCTTGGCCAAGGCTTCTGCCAGCTTTTTTTTGCTTTTTTTGCTTTCCTCAGCACTAGCGATCACAGCTTCCAGGTGAAGTGGTTCAGCTGGCGGATCTGACAAACCACAAGCTCAGGTGAGCTTTCTGCTGGACCAGCCTGACAGACACAACTGGATGTAACGAGGCAATCCTTACATCCAATAGCAGGGAAGTGGGGCAACAGTAACAGAGGGAAGGAGAGCTGCCCATCGGTGATGGCTGTTCATGTTTAGATCAGCTAATCTGCCCTGCGCCTGCTGTGTCATGTGAAACCATCCCGACGTGGTACGTCTCCTCGGTTTGGTGGGCCAGGGTATAATGTAGCCTCACACAAACCACTGATTCTCTCCCCGCTTCATGGTGTGTCTAAAGCATCTTTTTTTTTTTTTTTCTTTGTTTGGAATTCTTAATTCTTCTTTCACCGTATCTTTTATACTATGTATTACTAGTTTGGGAAATTGTTTTAGGATAGAAAGTGTGAAGACATTGCCTGAAAATTACTTTATAAATTAATAGCATCTTGCGGGACTGTTGACCTCTTTTAACGCATGTGCCTGCTAAGTTTCTTTTTAAGTGCAAAGAAAGAGGAGTGTTTCTTTCAGCCTTTACCTAAGATCATAAAGCTACAGCATTCTTAGCAGACGTTTTGTTCGCTATACTGCTCCATGGCTGTAACATTACATTCCACACAATGATCTATATTTAAGGTGTGATAGTCCTTACTCTTAACAGTTTCTACTTTCAGACTGAAAATGTAGAGAGAAGCATAGCACTCAAGACTCAGTTTAGTGGCTCACAGCTGTAGACTTGTAGGGAGAAAGAGAATTCTCCCCAGTTTAGCACAGCTGAGGGGATAAATTTGTTCCAGAATATTTTACAGAATTTTAAAAAAATATTACCTTGTACAAAAAGCATGGCTAATAAAACCCCAACCTCCAGAGATGTGAGTGAATAGCAGATGAGCTGGGGCTTCTTTTTTTTTTTTTTTTTTTTTTGAAGATGATGTCCTTTCTGATTTTATTATTCCAATTTGCTGAAATTACTTTGATGTAAATGTATTTAAATAGGTGATTTAATAACCTGCATGTTACCTGAGATCATGTTTGGCAGGCTGTGACACTGTGGCATGCACATACCAAGACCTGCTTTTGATTTCATGAGGCTGTTCTCCATGAGATCGTCTGGTCAGGAGAAGAACTTTTCCCCACGTGCATTTATCTAGGGCTGGCTGTATTGATTTTGTCAAAATCTGCTGCCTAAAACATCCATTTGAAGCTGGACAGAATTTGCTGCTGGTATCCCACATAGCTCCAGTCACATTTTTGCTTTAATGTTTCCAAGAAGATGTAGGCTTTCGCTTTTTGGTTAATGACCTGGTTAATTTGATTTGTGCCTCCATGCAGTGGGCAAACCCCGTTCCGTCATGATTCTGAGCAGCACGTTCTGTAGATGCAGTACTGATGAAAAAGTATCTGTCCTACAATGAAAGGAATTTGAAACTATTTGACCTTTTTAATGAAAATACCTAAATCTCCATTCATCACGTACGTGAACAAAAGGCTCTACTGACGCTGTCTGTTACGATGGTTATCGCTCTGCTGCTGTGCTGTTGGAAAGACAACTGGTTAGTACTTCCAGCTATTTTATTTCCTAGGGCTTTCATTTCTTCTTACCTGCAAAAAATTTGTAAAATTTTATTTTTAAAAAGCATTGCACTTCTTAGGGAAAATAGTAAAATAAATATTCCTGATTTTATAGCAAAACCAATTGTCACCCTATTAGCTAGCAGTTCTTACAGATTGACCATAGCCTTGGCTTTGCAAGGTGCTTCTGTACCAGTGAGTGTACACAGGGTGTGGAAAATCTAGTTATACCAAACTGAGACCGAAAGTAATCTTCACAGGAGGCGGGGGGTTTGATTTCCAGATACAGGAGGGAATATTCCTTTACATGCCATGCGATTTTCAAGCTGTATTTCTTCTTTGCCAGTAGAAGTTATTATTAACCTATACCAAGAGATTTTAAAAACGCTTCTTTCATAGAAAGAATCTTTTCCCTTGGGTTGCTTGCAACCACCAGCGTGCCAAAGAACTCAAAACGTAGGTGTTCTGTCACTGGAAAATCCTTGAAAATATGAATGAGATTGCAGATAAAGGGGAGAGCAGGCTGCGTGTTGTAGGAGTGCTGGAGCAGGAACAGATGCGTGCTGTCAAGAAGCAAGGAAACGCAGTCACTCACTCCTTACGCAGCTGTGAGATGTCTCCACCTGAATTATGAGGAAGGGTTTGAAAGCTAAATATGCTCACCAAGTTCAGTTGAACGGGGGAAGTCTAGTCTGCATGCTTTTGAAGGATGGCTGTAATGTATCAAAGGAAATGATTGTATCCCGTCAAAGCAGAGTGAATTGAGGAAGGGGAAAATGTTAAATTCAGTACCCAGAAAAAAATGGCCACACCGTGAAACTTCTGGGAATTCATTCCGTAAACAAATAAACATATGAGCATAGTCATGTGCTCTAATGGGGCCACGAAGGAAGTTACAATCCCATGCGTGTTTGCGGGACTGAGTCGTTTCCCAAGGAAAATACTGAAAACGGAATAGATATAAACAGGACGTCTTACACTAGGCTTAAAAAAAATATTTAAAATTTACTGTAGGTAATAATGCTGGATTAGGAAAAGACAGTCTGAACAGGTAATGGATTGCCTAAAGATTGCACCTCTGCGGTTTATTTCAGAAAATTCAGCTCAGTAAACTGTAAGGAATTCCTCCCTTTTATGTGAGAGTTTCTTTCTGTCTTGGGGTTTTTTTTCCACTTTCCCCAAAAGGGGGTGGAAATGTAGTCATGGTTTAGGAAGATTTTAAACAAAATAATTGGTTTCTAATTTCACCTGCCCTCCTTTTACTATAGCTGTAATTCTTTAATTAATCTCATTATGGAGCTCTTGTAAGTGGTGACCTCCCCGTATTCCTGGGTTTTACACTTTTAATATATCTGTTATATTACATAACACACACACATTAAGATCTGACATGTTGAAGGCATTTCCTCAAATTATTTTGGTTTAAACTGAGCCATATAAACAGGTTTAAAGTGGAAGGCTACTTGCTGTCAGTAGGACACTGCAGTTAAAAGAATTTCACTTTGCTTTTTTTTTAAATATTACTGTATTAACAAGCAATCAGTTTTTTCTTTCCGAAAACAAAAGTGCTGCAGTCAAAATGGTTTAAAATGGGTTCATATATGTGATTGCTTTTGATTTTTAAGAACATGTTCCGTTTAAAAGAGCAAGGGTTCAGTTACACAAAAGACCTTAAAATATTGGGTTTTTTTAAAAAAAAGAAAATCCAAGAAGAAAGCAGTGCCGATAGCTGAGTGTGTGGTGGTTTTCATCAAGCCTAATTCAAGATGCTTGAGATGTTTCTGAAAGTTTAATCTTGGCACTAACAGCTGAGAATGTAGTGATAAAAGTCATAAGACTCATGATGCAGATTCCACTTTATTGGGCCACACCCCGGACTCAGACGTCTTTGAAAAGTTATAAAGATTACAGTAACATTTAATTTCTGAAACTACGTTGGGAATGTTTGGGGGGGGGGAAGGAAAGATGATCATTTAGATAAGCTGCAGAATACGTGATCTTCTGAACTGTGCTCACGCAGGCACGGCAGTGTATCTGCTAGTACAAGTCTGAGCTCATCCTCCAGCACCAAAGCTGTATTTTTACCCATCGCTCTGCAGTTGTTAATAAGGATTTGTAATGGAAAAAAAGACAACTGCAGTTTGGTGATTTTTCTGTGATTATATAAACATACTTTTTTGTTTTTTGGTTTTAAAGGAGAGGAGAAATTCTTCATGGGTTTTGCAATCTGTTTTATCTTTTTCTTCTTTTAACCTTTTTCAAGATAATAGTGGAAAAAAGGGGGAACATTTTTATTGAAAATTCTGTTGGTGTTTTTTGTTAGTCATTTAGATACACAAAACCAAAATTCCCGTTTATAACTATGAGACGTGTTAAAAGTCTGGAGAAAAGGCTGTCACCAGTTAAAAAGTCAAACCTCCGAATAGTCCTGCACTGAAACTAGACTGGAGACTCTTTTGGTTTAAAAAAAAAGGGGGGGAGGAGGCAGGAAAAGAAAGACCTTGAACTGTTAGTGGAGTCTTAAAATATGATTCAGAGTTAGCAAAGAAGTGGGTGGCATTGCAGAACGTACAAGCCACTTGCCCCAGACTTCCTTTTAAATCCAGGTATTAGTCACTTGTCACTTAGACGTCTTTTGCAATGTAACTGGTTCTGGTGATTTCTTTTTACCTGATCATTTGTTTTAG